GAGAGAGAGAGAGAGAGAGAGAGAGAGAGAGAGAGAGAGAGAGAGAAACAAGCGCCTTCTCCCTCCTGCTAACTTCCAACAGACTTCCTGGAAATCAGAAATACTCACCGCACCCGAGCCCTACGGGTATGAAACCCAGAATGCCAGGAGCCGCACACGCCCGCTCGGGTCGGCATTTCTTTGGCTGGCCGCCGCCCTGGCTACAGGGATTTGGACACATGGACCTGGGGTGGTTGTCTCGCTTGGCACATGCATCTATTTCTCTCGAGCCACTCCTGAAAAGTTGATGGCGCAGGAAGGTCGGGAAGCTTCGAGAGCCGCCTCCCGTTTTCCGCTTCCTTCTGGAGCCAGACGCATAGCTGCCATGGAAAAGCCGGCTAACAATGGGCCGGGGGCCGGGGCCGGGGGCGCGGACTCGTAGCTGGGCTTTGGGAAGGGGGTGAGGGTCTGGGGAGGAGGGAAGGAGAGGTGGACAGAGGAGAGAGGGAGGGGGAGAGGGGAGAAGAGGGAAAAAAAGGAAAAGTAGGAAAGACGGAGGAAGGAAGACAGAGGAGATCAGGTCTAAGATCCAGGAACTGGTTTTGGAAAAGGCGGAGGAGGAAAAAGGAAATAAAGGGGGTGGTGGTTGGGGGGGGGAGAATCCTTGTTCTCTCTCTCTCTCTCTCTCTCTCTCTCTCTCTCTCTCTCTCTCCCTCTCTCTCCCTCTCTCCTCTCTCTCCTCTCTCTTCTCCCAGTGTCATCTCTCCTCTCCCTCTGCTCCTTCCTCCTGCCTTAGCAGAACTTATGTGGCTGGGATGCGGGGCCCTCGGGTGTCAAAACTTTGAAGATTAATGGATTACTTTGTTAATGACTGCAGGCGTCAGACTGAGGTGCTTAAATGATTTGTGAGGTGCGAGGCGTCTTCCCGACAGTCCCAAACAATGCGCGGAGTGTGCGGGGGAGGCAGAGGGCAGCCGCCGGCGGGACCAGCAGCAGGGCTCACACTCGCACACTCTCACACACTCGCACGCACTCTCAGGCGCACACACCAGGTCCTTGCTGATCGGAAGGCAGGCAAGCACCCTCGCCCCCACGCAACTCCCGGGCATCCCCACCCACACCCACATATATGTATTTTTGCCATGAAAAAAGTGTAAATAAAGCCTCTCTGGCCCCCAATGAGGCGTTCCTTCCCGACTTTTTTGGATCAATCAAACAGACAGTGGCTTCTTTTGATTAAAGCCCAAATTGTCATTGGGCAGAAGCAATCATGTGACAGCCAATTCGGTCCAATTTCAACCTTGTCTCCATGAATTCAATAGTTTAATAGTAGCGCGGTCCCCATACGGCTGTAATCAGTGAATTAGAAAAAAAACACCCCAGCAGCGATCTTCTATGATAGATTTTTTTTCCCTCCGCACTCGCCTTTTTCCTGGGCCTCGCCCCCCCAAAGCCCCTCCAGAAGAGGGAACTTTTTCTCCGAGGGGGCTCCAAGGAGAAGGCCATGAATTACGAATTTGAGCGAGAGATTGGTTTTATCAATAGCCAGCCGTCGCTCGCTGAGTGCCTGACATCTTTTCCCCCTGTCGCTGATACATTTCAAAGTTCATCAATCAAGACCTCGACGCTTTCACACTCGACACTGATTCCTCCTCCTTTTGAGCAGACCATTCCCAGTCTGAACCCGGGCAGTCACCCTCGCCACGGCGCTGGCGGCCGCCCCAAGCCGAGCCCCGCGGGCAGCCGCGGAAGTCCGGTGCCCGCCGGCACCCTGCAGCCGCCCGAGTACCCCTGGATGAAGGAGAAGAAGGCGGCCAAGAAAACCGCGCTGCCGCCCGCCTCGGCCGCCGCCGCCGCCACCGGCCCTGCCTGCCTCAGCCACAAAGGTCAGTCCAAAGACTTGGCCCCAGGTCCCGGGACCCTCTTTCCCTTCGGGGCTGCCCCAGAGCGGTTGGGGCGGGGGGGAGGGGAGCGTGGGCTGGGAGAGAAGGCGGAGAGGGAGAGGTGCTTGGCTGCCGTCCCTTCCCCTGTGGGCTCAGAAGTGGGTTTGATGGAGAGAAAAGGCATCCTGCGCTCCACAATGAGACATATATATTTTTAAGAAGAGGGGGGGAAACTTTCCCTAACTTGTGTAATGTGGGATGATTTATTTGAGTTGGAACTGACCTCCTCTTGTCTAGTTGTCCTAGAGTTTGGCTTTTTGACAGTAATGAAGAGTGATAGATCGCTCTTGCTCAGCTAAGCAGCTGATGCATTAATTATAAATTGTGGTGTGGGTAATATAAAGTTTGCTCCCGGATGGAGAGGTTGGGGGGAGCTCCAGGCAGGAATCGGATGGAGGTGGAAGAGATGGGGGTCTTCCCGGGCTGGGCTCCCAGGAAAGGCAGCACAATAGCTCTACTGCATCCAGGGGCGGCCATTTTGTTGCCGTTGATCTTTTCTGCTATATTTATTCTCCAGTGGAATAACCCCGCTCGGACCCCTCCACCTCCAACTGTGCGTGTGTCTCTTGTTGGTTTCCCTTTCCGCAGAATCCCTGGAAATCGCCGATGGCAGCGGAGGGGGCTCCCGGCGCCTGAGAACTGCTTACACCAACACGCAGCTTTTAGAGCTGGAAAAAGAATTTCATTTCAACAAATACCTTTGCAGACCCCGAAGGGTGGAAATTGCAGCGCTGCTGGATTTGACTGAAAGACAAGTGAAAGTGTGGTTTCAGAACCGGAGGATGAAGCACAAGAGGCAGACCCAGTGCAAGGAGAACCAAAACAGCGAAGGGAAATTTAAAAGCCTGGAAGACTCTGAGAAAGTGGAGGAGGACGAGGAAGAGAAGTCGCTCTTTGAGCAAGCCCTTAGCGTCTCCGGGGCACTTCTGGAGAGGGAAGCGTACACTTTTCAGCAAAATGCCCTCTCTCAGCAGCAGGCTCCCAATGGACACAATGGCGACTCCCAAAGTTTCCCAGTTTCGCCTTTAACCAGCAATGAGAAAAATCTGAAACATTTTCAGCACCAGTCACCCACTGTTCCTAACTGCTTGTCAACAATGGGCCAGAACTGTGGCTCTGGCCTAAACAATGACAGTCCCGAGGCCCTCGAGGTCCCCTCTTTGCAGGACTTTAACGTTTTTTCCACAGATTCCTGCCTGCAGCTTTCAGATGCAGTCTCGCCCAGTTTGCCAGGTTCCCTCGACAGTCCCGTAGATATTTCAGCTGACAGCTTTGACTTTTTTACAGACACACTCACCACAATCGACCTGCAGCATCTGAATTACTAAAAACATTAAAGCAAAACAAAGCATTACAAAACAAAAACCCCTTTGACCAGGTGGTTTTGCCTTCTTTTATTCCGAGAGTTGATTTTTATTTTATTTTCTTCTTGACCTACCCTCTCCCTCCTCTAAATGTTGAAGATTTTCTGTTTAGTGATTCCCCTGACCCAGTTTCAGAGGCATCTTTTACAGATTATTTTGGAGTTTTAGTTGTTTTAAATCTAATCCAACAACCCTCTATGTGATTTACTGAAAGCAATATATGAGGCCTGCAAGAAAGTGATCATATAATTGTATCTTCACTTTCTTTTTATTTTTGTATTACATTAGGATGCATTGTCATGCGTATTTTTGGTAGAATAAATTCTCCTTTGCTATAAGTAGCTTTCTTATTTTTTTTCTACCCCTCTTTCTCAAGGCTCCTAACGGTTTCTTTTTCTTCTTTTAGTCTAACTTGGTCAATAAAATTCTGGTCACAATTCATCTTCTTTTTCAATTTTAATATATTTATTAAGGGGACATGTTCAAAATCTTCAATAGACAGCAACAAAAAAAGAAAGCCAGAAAATGGTTAGGGCTTTTGAAAAGTTTTTTTTGTTTTTGTTTTTTAAGGGAATGGATTTGTTCTTTTCAGTGTAGAGGTTCAAGCCATAGATTTAAATTGGTAATAGAAACAGGATTGGGACGCCTCCGAGTTGGGCCAAGCCCAACCTTTTGATAGTGGAGAAATAAAGTGCCTACAGAAACCCCCAACTCCAGGATGAAGGAACGTGGAGTTTCTTTAACAAGCTACCAGTCTCCAGGTCAATAACTAAGTTATGAACAATTCATTTATTTATACACATTTGTTTCAAACATCTACATTCCAACCCCTCCCCCACAAATCCCCGAACATTTTCAGTGTGGTTGATTAGTTTCCCAGCTGTTGATGGCTCCAGGCAAACAGACCTAAAAGACAGAAAAAGAAAAACAAAAAAAAATGATGGTTACTAGCCGGAAAATGCACTTCAGAAAGGGTTCTTTCCAATCCTCTGGGTTAGTCATTCTAGGATTCTTTTTTTCAGGGTCAGAAAAATCAATATTTCATTCTTAAATCTGTTTACATGGCAAATAATGGATCATCAAAGCTTTGAAGTCAGGTTAGCAAGTTGAGATTTAAAATGGAGTGTTTCTGCACCCTAGGTTATAAATTAATCCAGTTTCTAGAAAGAGAGATAAAGCACTTTAAATGAAATATCAATAAAGTCTGATTTAGGGTATGCTACTGGGTTGTTCTGTTTTTTCCCCCCTTTTTATGTCCTTCCCCCATCTTTATTTTTCCCTTGCTGAGTTCTGTTCTGATGGCTACTTACCGTGAGAAAACGCAGCGTGTAAGCAACATGTGTGGGGGGCGGGTTGATTTAAGAAGCCAGCTCTTAACAGCAAAGGCTTGGAAGTTATAATGAAATCGTGATCTTTCTCCATGGGTTTGCTATCTACCTTCCCCCACCCTTTTGCCCCCTAAATCCCGGCAGCGGCGGAGGCGTGTGAGGACCCTGGCGGGTCTTTTGCCCCGGGCGCGGAGCGGAGCAGGGCTGCCCGGCAGCGGCCAGGGCTGAGCCGCTGCTGTTTGCGATTCGTCCTACGCTCATAAATCAAACGCTTTCTATGAATGAGAATGTCATCAAAGAGATCAATTGCAGGAACACATGCACAAATAAAAATCCTCTTACGTATTTGCCGGGGATCCCCGTCCGAAAGCATTAAGTTAGAAGGCGTTTAGTCATAATTCATTTTTATTGCTCTTTTAAAACAACAGCTTGGCTGAGCCGCGTATGCCAGGAACAGCTCGCGGCCTCGGCAGCGGCGTTTTGTCTCCTCCTCGCGCCTTCCCTCTCTAGTAGAAGAACCCTGAAAGAGGCGCTTGGAGCCCAGCAAGCCGCTTGCAGGCGATCATTTAAATAGTGACCAAGCTCGCTTTCCACCCACTCTCCCCGGGCGTTTAAAGGGATTTTAGCTGGAGTCGTAAGGCGCTGGCCTACTTGTCCAGAGGACCAAGGGTCTCCTACCGGGCAGAATGAGCCCCAGGATTTCGTGGGGGCGGGGAACGACCCGAGCTACGGAAGCCTGCGGGCTCGAGGCCAGGGAGGCTGCCTTTGTGAGCAGCGCCGGGAGAGCAGCGCTCAGGGCGGCCAGCCGGGGTGGAGCCGGCTCGGCTGCGAGAGCCCGACCTGCGGGGAGAGGGGAGCAGTGCGCTGAGGCGGGTGGGTCGCCGGCCCAAGTGCCTGCCTGTGTGCCAGTGCAAGCTTTCGATCCCAAGAAATACACCCACCCCTGCTGGCCCTGAAAAGAACCCCGGAGGGAGGAAGAGAGGAGAGCAGAGGCCGAGAACTAGCAGAGGAGGGACAGCGGTTGTGGCAGGGGTGGCTTTGCGGCGCGAGCCCTACGGCCTAGGGGGTCGCGTAAACCCGGGGCCGTGGAGGCCAACAAAGGGGCAGGAATGAGGCAGGGGGGAGAACATACCGACGAGCTTCGGCTCGGGTTGCAGATCGTGCGCAATGCCTGCACGGATCCCCTCATGTCCTGCCTCCACCCCCATAAGTAGCCCCTTCTCTCGCGGTCGCAGGAGGCCTTTACGCTCCCAAAGAAGCTGCCTCCAGGAGGGCCGCCTTGCCTTTTCCCTTCTCCAGGATGAAGTTCCCCAGGTGCTGAAATTGGACCAGGAGTGACCTTTCCTGCCTGTGCTCCCTCTTAACCGTGATTGGGGATGGGTCAAAGGTCACAGAAAAACACCTTTCCTAAAGGAAATGTTTAGGGAAAATGTTTCTTTGCTACTGAGGGAACCCACAGTCAAATGTCTACAAGCGTTTCCCCTCTTGGGAGGACACGTTTTTTGGGGGAACTTCTATATACGGAGAACAGAACTCAGAAGGGTTTTTTTGGGGGGGACTTCTATATGTGGAGAACAGAACGCAGAAACCTGAAAGGCTGACTAAACACATTTGAAATGTGCCTGCCTCAAGCAAACTGGGGAGGGAAAGCTGGAGGGGAGTGGGGACCCTAAATCCACAAAACAATCCTCAGATAAATTTCATTTGTCGAATTCCGAGGTGGTAAACATCAGAGTAATATCTATACAGCATTGGCTGCAAAGCTTCCTGGATGATCTCTGCATTTCTACCTAAGAATGCATCAATTCGCGGCCTCTGTTTGGCCTTTTCTCTCTATAAGCCAAGGGTTGACACGAAACCTAATAGTAAACAGCAATTAACGACCCCGTCAGAATCAGGGTAGGATGAGGGTGATGGAGAACAGGACCCCTGGCCTAGAATGACGCTCAGATTTGCACGTGTCTCTCTCTAGGGTAAGATCTGAAAGTTCAACACACGGAATTACACAGTTACAAAGGGCAGGAGGTGTTGTTGGGGAAGAAGAAAATGTCCCGTCCACCATCAGCCATCTGTCCACCGCCCCTCCCACCTGCCATCCCCCACCCCCAATTCAGACATGCAGTAGAACGGGGGGGGAGGGTGAATAAAGGAAGCTCTACCAATTCCTAACCTTCTCCCTCCAGAAAACGAGAAACGTTGCGGGGGGGGGGTGAGGTGGGGGTGGGAGTTCGGCGTACTTTGTAGGAGCTGTGGTTTCGCCCTTTGAGGCCTCAGCCAGAGCGCGCGGGCTCCTGGGTCTCGGGGAGCCGGCAGATGGCCTGCAGCGCGTGGCCCGGCCCCCACGCTGGCCACGTCCGCTAGCGTCATCTTTCTCCCCCGCCTCCTAACCCTCAAAATCTAGCGGCCGAGCTGCTCTGGATCCCATAGGGCTCCCAGAGCAAAGCCGAGTGGGGAGGAGAAAGGGGCGGAGAGCCAGGAGAGAGGGAGGGCAGACAGCCCCGCGGCCCGGGCCTTTTCCGGCGAGCTCAGCGCGGAGGGCTCACCCAGCTCCCGGGCGTCGAATTACGGAAGCTCCTCATAGCCATGCTGATAGTCAGTGGGGGAGGTGGGGGGGAGGTTGGGGGTGTCGGAGACCCTCCTTGGAGAAGGGAAGTTTCTTTCTTGCCCCCGTCTCCTCCACGCCCTCCCAGCCAGCCCTCTGCGCACTTCCTCTCCATTCCGAGCCTGGAGAGCTGGCGGCCCATCCTTAACCGAAGCCACCATGCTCTGCGCTCCTCACTGCCCCAAGGCACCGCAGCAGGGACTGTGCCGTGAAAGCTCCGGGGGAGCTTGGGCTGCAGTGCTGGCTGGGTTCCTACCCTTCCTGCTCGGCGCGCTCCGATCTCCGGCCCACCGATTCCCGACCCAAGAGAGCACGGAGCCCTTTTACCTTCTCACCTCTTGCCAGTTCATCTTTCTGCGCGCTGTGGGGAAGGGGCGGAGACGAGAGGGGGATGCCTCCCAGCCCCCACCTCCGGGGGGGGGGGCGAGCGAAGTCCGCGCGCGGAAGGCAAGCCTCTGCTCCCCTTCGCCCCAGAGCTCGGAATCTGCCCTTGCAGCCGCCGCAGCTGCTGCCGTTGCCTGGGGGGGCGACTGCGCGTCACCTAGACTGAGGAGCGCCGGGGATTTAAATGCCACTGAAACGGTGATCCATCACTGCGGGAGCCAGCAAACTTTCGCAGGAGGCTCCGCCATTGGCTGACATAGTCACGTGCCCCAGCCGTAGCGCCCTCCGCCCTCCCGCCCCCCCTCTTGCGCACTGTACAATCATATCATTTTTCTTCTCCGGCCCCATGGAGGAAGTGAGAAAGTTGGCACAGTCACCCAGGGCTTCGCAGGACCCGGTCACTCAGTGACAGATGGACAATGCAAAAATGAGCTCCTTCCTGGAATACCCCATCCTCAACGGTGGCGACTCGGGGACCTGCTCAGCGCGAGCCTACCCCTCCGACCATGGAATTACAACTTTCCAGTCGTGCGCGGTCAGTGCCAACAGCTGTGGCGGCGACGACCGCTTCCTAGTGGGCAGGGGGGTGCAGATCAGCCCGCCCCACCACCACCACCACCACCACCACCACCATCATCACCCTCAGACGGCCACCTACCAGACTCCCGGGAACCTAGGGGTGTCGTACTCCCACTCGAGTTGTGGTCCAAGCTATGGCGCGCAGAACTTCGGTGCGCCTTACAGCCCTTACACCTTAAATCAGGAAGCAGAAGTAAGTGGTGGGTACCCCTCGTGCGCTCCCGCTGTTTACTCTGGAAATCTCTCATCTCCCATGGTCCAGCATCACCACCACCAGGGTTATGCCGGGGGCGCGGTGGGCTCGCCTCAGTACATTCACCACTCATATGGACAAGAGCACCAGAGCCTGGCCCTGGCCACGTATAATAACTCCTTGTCCCCTCTCCACGCCAGCCACCAAGAAGCCTGTCGCTCCCCTGCATCAGAGACGTCTTCTCCAGCGCAGACCTTTGACTGGATGAAAGTCAAAAGAAACCCTCCCAAAACAGGTCAGTCTTGCCATTTCGTGGATGTCCCTTGATGATTGTGGAAGGAGTTTGTATGTTTAGTTTCCAAGGAAAATTAATGATTTTTTTTAAACTCTTGCTAATCACCGGTGGTATAGGGCGTGGGGAGATTGCGCTGGTGTTTTGGGGCAAAGGAGCGTCTGGGACTGTTGTGTTTTCAGAGGGGCTGAGTGTTAGAGGTTCTGGAAGTAGGAAGTGGGGAGGTGTGTGTGCGGGGGAATTCTGTTAATATCTATAGGCTCCATTAATCAGCGGTCTGACCACGCTAATGGTTGACTTCAGATTAACACTTTACACCTCATCACTCACCCTCACCAGACTGGTGTGTGTTGTGAAATTCTTGATCTCCCTTTTACCTGAATGTTATTCTGAAGCTGTAGGGGATCTCATATTGATTGTAACAATTGTACCTTTTTCTCTCATCGCTTCCCACCCTGTCCCCAGGGAAAGTTGGAGAGTATGGCTACGTGGGTCAACCCAATGCGGTGCGCACCAACTTCACCACCAAGCAGCTCACGGAGCTGGAGAAAGAGTTCCACTTCAACAAGTACCTGACGCGCGCCCGCAGGGTGGAGATTGCCGCTTCCCTGCAGCTCAATGAAACCCAGGTGAAGATTTGGTTCCAGAATCGCCGAATGAAGCAGAAGAAACGAGAGAAGGAGGGCCTCTTGCCCATCTCTCCCACCACCCCGCCGGGAAGCGAGGAGAAGGCCGAGGAATCCTCAGAGAAGTCCAGCTCCTCGCCCTGCGTTCCTTCCCCAGGGTCTTCTACCTCAGACACTTTGACTACCTCCCACTGAGGCCAGCCCAGCCCCAGACCCCGCAGCCCAGGCCACTCCTGGGCTGGGACTTCTTACCAAAGCACATTCTTAGCTTATCTTCCTTTCCATTTGCAGTCTCTCTCTTTCTGATCCTATCTGGGGAGCTCCTGGGCAGGATAATGTGTTTCCAGAGAATTCTGCACTAGAGGCTTGATCTGGGGGATGGGATGAGGTGGAGGGTGTTAACTCCTTAGTGCAGATTGGGTGCCAGCATTAATTTTCTGATGGCTCCTAACACCCCTCCCTACTTTTTGGAAATTTCCACAGAACCTACTGTTCCTTTCAGATGCCCTTTGGAAAATAGTCTCCTTTGCCAGCAGAAACATGTCAGAGGGAGGCCTCTCATATTTTATCTATTTGTATATTTACAGTTCTCTCCTACTTTGACCTCAGAGAATGATAGAGAGGAGAGAGTCCAAGAGCTCATGAAGAAGAGATGCACTATGAACGTGTTTACACAATTCATTTTTTTAATTTAATTCACTTTCATGTGTGTGAGTTTGCTGGTTGTAAATACTTTGTCCTGAGAGATTTATCTTTATACAGATTTTTTAGAGATGTTTAGAGTAAGTGACTAAAACAGGGTGGGCAAACTCTCAAAGCTGGTACAATTTTATATGTGATTGTAGGTTAAAGAATAAAAGCCCTCATTTCAACTCAATCAGATGCCTCAGAGGGTAGCCTCAATTGTTCTGTTAGTGAGTTAAGAAAGCCTGCAGAACACAAGGTTCAGAAACCTTGCTTCCTGTGCTTATGTCTCTCCTCATCCCCACCCCTTTCTTGTTTATCTGGCCACACTATTTAAACTCTGTGCTGGATTATTCGGAACCTAAAGGTATTATTCAAAGGAGCTTCTTCCTTCCACAGTTGTCTTAGCTGGATATAGTGTATTTTCAGCTCAATTGTTAATGTGATGGATGGCACAATGAATGTATATTTTGTGTGATTCGTGGATAGTCTTTTGCATGTCGCACAATGTTTTGATGTCCCTGGAGTACTACACTGAGTTCTATCAGTTATCCTTTGTGAGCCTATTATGATATTCCCCATTTCCTGTACAATCATGAACAGCTCTGAGATCCTGGAGTGTTGTGATCCAGAGTAGAGTTTACGGGTCTTAAGATGTCTGTAATAAATATATTCAAGTTTCAGATATGCTTAAGCATCCATGTGTTTGGCTTGGCTACTATTTGTTGGTTCCTACAAAGTTGGCTCATTTCATGTGGAAAAGGGGAGACAGGTGGTGTGCATTTTCAAGGAGGTGAGACTTTCCTTGAAAAAAAAAAAAGTAAATGCTTTCTAATATGTAGCTGAAGCTTCCCCATGAGGGTAATTGCACCTGACCAATGTCAACAAGAAGCTGATTTTCTTTCAAATAACAACAGCTCCTTTATTATAATCAAAGTTCATAATGGAAAAAATGGTGAAGAAATTTATGAAGCAGATCTATTTTTGAAACAAACATGGGTACTTCCTGGGTCAAGTGCTAACCTTTTCACCTCCAACTGAATGTTGACGTATATATAAACAGAACCCCCTTCAAAAGCCAAAACTCTTCAATCAGTCTTTCCTCACATCAGTGAATCAAAAGCTAAGACATGCACATTTAATTAGCTCCAGTATAAAGCTGTTTGAAGATGCACTCCCTCCCCCCCATGCTTCTTCCTTCTTTTTAGATTATCAGTGTTTCAATATATTCTACCCTTTAAATTGAGTGTGGTCACTTTCCAGTAAACCCTTGTATACTTCCTCCCATTCCTCCTGTCCATATCTATCCCTTCCCTGCACCCTCTACATGCCTCCCCTCCCCACTTTTAGATTACACATCTCATTCCCAGCAGATCCAGCTTTGATTTCATAGCCATCGTGGCTGTAATGGGTCCTCAGTTCTAATTCCATGCCACATATGCCTGAAAAAAAAAAGTTTTTCTTTTCTTCTTTGGGCTCAACAGGTTTTTCCAGGTGAATCTGTGGAAGTCATGCTAAAATCCATTTCAGTATTCAAGTCGCTTATGACCAAGGCATGTGTCTGTTCTCAAACAGAGAATGCCAGCAAATCAAAGAGTTCCAAGTGGCTCTCCTGGATTCCTTAACACTTTTCCTTCACTTTCGCACATTTTTAGAGGCTTTAATTTTAGCCCCAAGGGTAGAGCAAAAATTTTACAGCATCACAACAAATACAGACATATGACTTCCTTCCTCTCCAAAGGGTGTTTTACAAAGGATGGGCTAGGTGGGAGGAGGAAATCCTATAAAAACTCAAAATTTGCAGGCCCCCCTAGAGCACCCATGAGATTTCCTGTACTTCCCTGTCAAAGGGGACAAGCCTGGACTTTGCAGGCACAGTTGCTGCGGCCATATCAAGGGCAACCAGTGCCCTCCCCTCGGCTCCTGGGTTGGGGGTTGCCTCTAAAAGACTCAAGTGGATGGAGAAGAACTTCAAAGTCGGTCAGCTCTTTCTTTCATTTCCCCTCGCCTGGCCTTATACAGTATCTTTTGTTTATTAGTGTAAGGCCACACAGCAAAACAGATGGCTGGTTTCCAAATACTTTAATGTGCTAAAGTGTAATTTGCATGCCACTGCCGAGATTTCAATATCTAAAAGCGGGGCCTGACCTGCTGGAATCCCGGAGATTTCAGTCTTCAAGGTGGTGGTTTAAATGTAGCTGAGAGAGAAAACGATAAATTATGGGTAAACATCTCAAGCCTTCTTTAGGTCATGGAATAAATCAGTTAATAAGCAATGCATTTAGGAAACATTAATATACCTTTCAACAAGAAAAACATTTGTATCTTTTAGTTGTCCCAATCGATTAAATCAAAGGCGCTTAACACATCCTAATTTCAAGGTCTCTTTTTTTCTATTTTGGTCTCTGAGGAGTGCAGTTAGCTCCCTGAACAATGATAGCAACCGAGAAACAGAAAATAACATTTTATTGATACATTAAGAAAAAGACAACAGTCTCAATTAGGAAGTTGGGATAAATGCAATATAAAATTCTAGTTTTCCAATGCCTTTTCCTCACTTCCCTCACATTCATGCAAAGTACTCCCAAAATTCAGGGTATCCCTAAACCAGGCTGAGTTAAGATCTTGCTGTAGCTCTGAAGTCTGCTCTCCGCTTCACCTTTGAAAGTTTGCTTTTGGAGGCTCTTCAGATGCCCGTGGTGTTTTCCTCTGAAGCAATCAGATTCAAACCGATCAATATTTACTCAGTCTGAAAGGGTTGTTGAAAAGGCTGCTAACAACAAACTGCTTAGCTGCTCACCCCTGTTTAATCTCAGGTTCACAGAAAGTTCAAGAAGAGATGAATGCAGTGATGGGTCACTTTAGAATGAGTCCCAGCGGTTTATCTGAGCTCTCCGCTACAGGCAACAATTCTAGTTCCATCCCTCTTTGGGAAAGGGGCAACTTTCCTATTATTCTTTTGCTAAACAGTGTTTACTAGAAAGTTAAAAAACTTTCATCCCCCTTCCTGGCTCTTGTTTTGGGAGGGGGGAAGAGGAGCTTCCAGTTTTCCTTCTCTTGCCTCCTCCTCCAGCTTTTTTACCAATCCTCTAGGTTTCATTCGACTTAAAATAAATGACATTGAATATTTAAAAAACGTTAAATTAGCCTGACAGAAAAGATCCGATTTATTTTAGATGCCACGAGCTATGAAATGAAGCTTTTTGGGCCATTAGAGTTTATCTTCTTTGCAAAAGTACAGGGCAAGATTGAATTGAAATCCATTTGCGTTTGAGTAATATCGACAATCAGAGCCCCAATATCCATTTGAAATGACTGTTTAGACAGGAGTTGCGGCGTGGGGAGTGAGAAGGGGGAATTGACTTGTGCAGAAGCAGATACCTCAGGTGGAAAGTCAACTTTAAAATTTTACGCCGTCCTAGTACACGAATTACTGAGATGAAAAAGACCCAAGGAAGCCAGTGGGGAATGGTGGGAGAAGACACTGGACACTGAAGCTAATTGCTACAGCTCTTCAGAGGTCAAAGTTCATGTAATCACTGCATAAATGCATACTAAATAGGGATTTATTAAGCTTTTCTGATGGCTGGGCACGTCTGTGGAAAAAAAAACAAGAAAAAAAAAACCCGATCACTGCTGTTTGTGTTTCTTCCTGGAGAATAATCGTTCTTGCAGTAGAAACTCTAGGAGCCTGAGTCTTTAATTTACTATTTTGAATGACGGGCAAACCTTCTGTTTTACAATTTTGAAATTGGTGCATGGACAGCATCTTTCTTTTTTGTTGGATGGGACTGTAAGATACGTCTCTAACTCTTAGAAATACTATGGCTTTTTCAATACACACAAGGACACAAGTTAACATGTCCCTATCAGATAAGCTACTCCTAGATGGCTAACTTCGGTGACTCTCTGCTGCAGATAAGACTACTTTTTGTCTGAATCCTGAGAGGACACAAAAGTCCTGCCTGAGGACTACTTGTGCCTAAATGTCCGGAATTGAAAGGGACCCATTAGCCAACCTTTCATGTTAATGAATCAGAAAGACAAGGCAACCAGCGTGGATTGATTTCACTTTGAGCCCATAGGACTTATACTTCCGTAATAAAAATCAGGCTGGCTTAGAACCTGACTAGTGCACTTCTTAATTCTAAATTGCAGATTTGATTTTGCTCCTTCTCATTTATTCTACATGATTTGTTTCAGGCTGGATATTGTTTATGTCTTTCCACTTCTGGTTTACTAGCCACCCAGAGTCAAGTCCTTGATTTTGAGGCCATCAGGATTAATGAACCTTTGAGACAACCTCCTAGTTGAACCTTTCTGCCATCTTGCTTGGACAATAAAATGTTGGTCTACTTGCTGTTAAAGACATATGCTCTTAAAATATGAAAACAAAGCGAGAGAGAGTAGGTAAAATTCAACACATATTTTTGTTGTTTTTAAACCTAGACTAGGGAAGAATAAATGAAAGAGGAGAGGCCTGCACCCAGGTTCAACTTCCATTAAATGGTCAAGAGGTATCAGCAAGGAAGGGCTTAGAGATGCAAGACATATTCCAGGAGGTGTCTTTGTCTTCACCCTGAATCATTTTTGTTTGTTTCTGTTTGGTTTGTGGCACAGCATAGCCTCCTGTATTGTTCTGGTCCACACTTCTTAATTTTATCTATGACCTGCTCATGTACCACACACACACACACACACACACACACACACACACACACACACACACACACACAAGTGCCAGCCCACACAATTAAAGTTTTCTCACAACACGACTTTCCACACATTCCTTCAATCAATCTCAGCAGAATCTGCTGCCCAAAGGGCCATTTATGGCTGTCATTGTTTGAAAAGCTGAACTGGAATCCCTAGAGTTTTAGAGCCTTATTTTTAATAACACCAGTCATCAAATATCACTGACCTTTGATTGCAGAACTGCAAACCAAATATCAATTAAGCAACTGCTCCGCAGACGCTAGCCTATGAACTTTATTATTATTTTTTAAAACCAATCTCAAGCCCCAATTGCATCCTGCAAAAGATTTTGGAAAGATTGCATTTTGGATTTATTGGAAATAAGCGAAAAGACCAATGTCTCTTTTTCAACATTTTCAGACACAACAAAAATATGTCTCCATTTTTTTAAACAGCCCATTACATTTTTTTATTATTAAAAATATGTTTGTAAAACGTCTAGTCACAAGGCTAATCTGTAGAAACCAGATTGTTTTGCGTTTTCATTTTAGGCTTGGGTTGTTACTTTAGGGGGGGAAAAATACGCAACTGCTTGCAACAGAAAATAAAGGAAATTATTATGGAATGAGTTTTCTTTCTCTTTAAACTGGGATACTTTTTTAACCGCGCTGGACAGTTTACAAATGATGACCTGCTTCCTTTTAAAAGAAAAATCTTCTCAGTACCATAACGAGAATGCAGAAAGCAATGATTTAAAATGGTAGCGCCCCCCCCGCCCCCCCACCTAATATCAGCAATACAGTTCCGGGAAATTCTCCATCCCGAAGAACAAATGGGGTCCTTCCTTCAGGACGTGCAGGGCAGCCGCCGGAGCCCGGGAAGCTGCGGCCGCGCGAACTCGGGCGCCGCCGGCGTGGCGTCGGGAGCGGCGATCAGCACCGGCCCCGGGGCGGCCGGGCGGGTGCAACCGTCTCGGGAGGACGCTTCGGTCTTCGCGGCCCCGCAGGGTGGATGGAGGGGAGCCCCGACGCCAAGGTTAAGACGACTTTCCCGCCTTGGCTTCCCCACCTTCTCTCTCCGAATTGCTCTGCAAACGCCGCCTCTCCCTTTCTCACGGCCCCGGACCCACGCGGAGCACGGAGGGAGCTGCGTCCCGGCCCTGCCCGGGGTGCGGGCTTCGCGGTCCCGGGCGGCCGGCGGCCTGCGCGGTTCCCAGCGGGAGCCCGGGGGGTGGGTTGAAAGTGACTGGGGCCTGAGTCGGGGCACATCCGCTGAGGCTGCGAAAGGCTCCGCTTTGTCTCAAGGGACCACTAGGCCTCACGGTTCCCCCTTCTTTTCCCGCCAGCATCGCCCCGCTTCCAGGTGATCCGGGAAGGAAACGCTGGAGCCGAGAGGTGGGGCCGTAGGGGGCCGCCTGGCTCCTCCAGGTGAGGGCCTCGAGGGCTCCCATCCCGCCCACCTAGCAGAGAGGACAGAACTTTTCCTCCCGGGGAGAAGAAACGCAGGTCGGATGCCGAGCCCCCTAGTTCATCTTCTTAAGATTTGAAAGGGGGAGGGATATTTTACTTCCTGCCTGGTCCCTCCTTCCTAGATATTTTCAAAATACATTGAATTGAGTAACATTCATTTCCCTTCTAGTTCAACTTAGATATTTTGAAAGGTAGAGGTGGGGGGTGCAGGTGTGCTGAGTAGAAGTTTCTAAATGTCCAGGTGTGATGAGTAGACGTTTCTAAACGTGCAGGTGTGCTGAGTAGAAGTTTCTAAACATTGGATGTTCGTAGAGAGGCTAGTGCCCTCTAGCCATTGAAACATCCTTCTCAGATGTCCTCACACGCAGTTGTAGAGTCAAACCCTGCCTCGCCTCAAGTCTCACTTCTCTCTGGAAAGTTTTCTGTACGCTTCCCACCCTTTCAGCTGAGCATCTTCTCAGGACTCCACCGTTTACACAGGAAGCTTTGTTATACGACACCTAACTGGGATCGTGAACTAGACTGTCCGTGTGTGTGAGTCTTGACTCCCGGGACAGGATCTCAAGCTTCTTGAGGGCAGGGCCCTTGACTGCAGTAACATGAGATCATCCCTGTAGGATACTTAACCTTTCTATGCTTTCAGATTCTTAAACTATAAACTAAGGGGACTATTCTTGTTGACTTGTAAAATTTATGTGGTTTTATGTTGACTAAATTTTTATGTGGTTTTTCAGTATCCTGAAAATCTGGTATTTATTCAGGATTGCTCTGAGCCAAGTGATGTCAAATACTGTCAAATACTTTACATACATTAACTCATTTAATCCTTACTCAGCCCCAAGAATGAGGCATTTTTATTATCTTGGTTTTACAGATAAGGAAATGGAGGGGTACAAGATGTTAAATAACTTGTCCACTAAACCCAGAGGCCAAACTCTTACCCACTTTGTTGTAGTGCTTCTCCTCAAGGCTAACTGTACAAATCCTCTACAAAGAGTTATCAAGCTATCAGTCATTGTTGGTACAGGTACTATAAGTGGGTAATTGCTTACTGGTCAAGAATTAGAGAGCTGGAGAAACGGACGGTTTAATATCAGACTTATGTGCAAACTGTGGCTACACATTCTTGGGAAAATAAGCAAGTGACAAATATTTGAGTGAAAACAAAGCTAAAGAGAGGTCAAAATTAACAATAAAGTCAATAAAAGGACTACTTTAACAATAAAAGACTTTTTCCATATCTGACACTAATTAATTAAGGGAACTCTTTGCAGACAGAAGAAAGATATCCTTTATATTCACAAGTTATATCTGTGGCATGCCCAACATGTGGACAAAAATGGAAATATTCAATATAAAATGCAGATGTTTTATCTCTATGAAAGCCAGCATCCATATGGCCGGAAACATTTGAATGCATGATATTTCACACCCCCCAACCCCACCAGTTTTCATTTGGTTATTTTGTGTACTGCAATTCCAGTCACAATTTACATTTGAAGAAAAAAAGATGAGAATAATTCCTGTTCACACAAAAGGGCTAGTCCTCATAGTTTACCACTTAGCTGCTCTTGAATAAGAAGAACCAGAAGAACCAGGTTCAACAAGAATTTGAAGGGATGCATTATGAGGCCTAAAAAGAGCCAGTTAGTCTCAGAACTCAATTTGCACAAAGTCAGATTAAGAGTTGTATGTAGGAGAACATACTTTGCTTTCTCCTACTTCTCTAACTTTTATAGGTAAACAAGGGCTTGGCATAATTACAAACATAACAATATTACCAATATTATTTAGTTACGGAATGACAGAAAGTAAGACAAGAAGAGACATTAGAAGTCATCTAATCTGGCTTTTTTTATTTTACAGGTGAAGAAACTGAGGCCCAGAAAGGTGCTAGCAGCAATAGTGGGAAGAAAAAAATATTTGTTTATATCTTTAATATAAATGTAAGTGGATATTAAAAATGGCAGCCAAAAATTAATCTTGGGCTAGATATTAATAACATTAATAATTACTTTATTAAGTATAGTAATTATAGTAATTAATTACAATAATAATGAACTACTGAAGATCTAAAAGTTATTATGAGTAAGCAGGTTTGAATAATGAGTTATATGGCCAGAGGGTTTCTTCCTACCTGCTTACCTCTATGAATCCTACAGACAGAGCAAGCGCTCAGATCCCTTCTATCCTACCAGTAAAGAGAAACTGGCTAATCCATTTTATTTCTTCCTTTTCAAAAATTCTTTGTATGTTTTGACAGGTGAGACAGAATAAACCAAGAAGGAAGCCAAGCTTCTTAATTGCCCTGCCCCAGCCACTCAGATGGCATGTTAGCTTCCTGGTTGCTGCTTGATTCAGGCACAATGGAAGCAGAGGGAACCTTCTGGCTTCATTGATGTGCTTCCTTTGGACCACAGGACTTGCAATTCATTACCTTAAATAAAAAATATTCCTTCTATGAGAGATATTTAGACTTTAGCAAGTTGTGACAACTCATTTTCTAAAGTGTATTTTTTCAATTACAGTTGACATACAATATTATATTCTTTTCAGGTGTACAACATAGTCATTAGACATTTATATACCTTATGAAGTGATCACCCCGATAAGTCTAGTACCCATCTGACACCATACACAGTTATTGTAATATTACTGACTAAATTCCCTGTGTTGTACTTTACATCCCTGTGACTGTTTTTATAACTGGCAATTTGTACTTCTTTTTTTTTTTAAAAGATTTTATTGGGGAATTGGGGGAGGGGAACAGCGTTGGGGAATTGGGAAAGGGGAACAGACAAGTTGCTGTCCTTTGGTTCTTCAGTCTAGTTGTGGAGGACGTCGCTTCACTGGCCCATGTTGGTATTATCATTGTGCTCTTCCCTGGTGAGGCAGTCGTTCAGCGGCCATTGGACAGTGCTCACGGTGGCTCCCAACAGCTCACGAAAGCTCACACCTGCTGCCGGCCAGTCCCACTGCAGCCTATGCCATCACTGTCTACTTACAGCAGCCCAGCTCCAGGTCGAGCTGTTGTTCACCATCTTAGCTGTAGAGGGTGCAGTGTCACTGGCCCTCATGTGGGATCTGAACTGGGGTCCTGCTGCTCATAGTTGGTTCCAAAGCCAACTCTTAACCAACGTGCCACTTGGCCGGCCCAATTTGTACTTCTTAATCCCTTTCAAATACCACATGATTTCACTTAGAATTGAGCAAAATAAACAAAATAAATGAACAAACAAAACAGAAACAAACTCATGGACAAAGAGAACAAATTGATGGTCGCCAGATGGAGGGAGGTTGGGGGGGGGATGCATTAAAAAAGTGACAACTTATTTTTTTATGTTAACTTTGACTGAAGGCTTTCTTTGTAACAGATGCTGAGTTAAGAGTTTTATATGCGTTATCTTGGTATAATTATCTCTGTAAGGCCACAGCCTTATGCACACATAAGATTAGCAGCTTTATGAGGTGGGTTTTATTATCCCCTTTCACAGATGGAGAAACTGAAGCTTAAGTATTTTCTGTAAGTTCCTCACCATCACATAGTGAGTGAGTAATAAAGTTGGACTTTGCAGCCTATGCATCTATTCCTTACATGTTGAAGCCTCTTATCTTAAGAATGTGAGTGTAATTAAGACTAACTTTAAGTTTAATTTCCCATTGAAAGTGATTATATTTTAGGAGCCTGATGTTAGGTTGCTATAAATATGTTATATATGTACACTATGACTTATCTTAGTTTTTAAAAAATAAAAAACCTGAGAATATATAACTATACATGTGCATAGAAAATGGTTTCTTTTTCTTTTTTTTTTTTTTTTTTAAAGATTTTTATTGGGCAATTGGGGGATGGGAACAGTGCTGGGGAATTAGGGGAAGGGGAACAGACAAGTTGCTGTCATTTTGTTCTTCAGTCTAGTTGTGGAGGACGTTGCTTCACTGGCCCAAGTTGGCACCATCATTGCGCTCTTCCCGGGCGAGGCACATCAGTCGCCGGCTTCTGGACGGCGGCTCACTGCGGCTGCTGGCCGCTCACGCTGGCTGCTGGCTACACACGGTAGCCCATGGCAACCACAGGGGCTGCAGCCTACGCCATCGCCGGCGACTCATGGCAGCCCAGCTCCAGGTTGAGCTGTTGTTCAGCATCTTAGCTGTGGAGGGCAGTGTCACTGGCCCTCATATGTGGGATCCGAACCGGGGCCCTCTGGCGTCCCAAGCCAGTTCTTAACCATCGCGCCACTCGGCCGGCCCCGAAAATGGTTTATTTTTCTATCTAGGGTTTTATTGCTGACAGAATTGAGGCTTTTGGAATAACAATGACTTTCTTTAACTAGTCATGGTGTAGTGAAAAGATAGAATGGTTGTAAAATATTATAAAAAGTAAAATTATTATAGAAAGGAAAAAACTCACCTACCATTACATTCCCCCAAATATAGTTGTTTCCTATAGTGCAGTCTTTGTCCTTATGCTTTTACTTAGAAGCAATTATTGTGTGTCACATTTTGAATTCTACTTGTTTCCACCTATGTTATGTCATAAACCTTATCTGTATTTATGTGGCATATTTTTTAATTTGAAGATTGGTGTATGTACCAGTACTTATTGCCTCAGATATCTTTTTTTTCTTATATTTCCCCCTCTCATTTTTTCTTTCTTATTTGAGAGTGACATGAAGGCAGCCAGTCCAGTCTGTGATTGAGCATCTATAATGGGGTGAGGTGTATGAGTGGTTTGGTACCTATCAGCTGCAGGTGCCTGTGAGAGGCACCTATAAATTTGCTCTCCCGCTCTAGGAATTCCTTCTGGCTTCACCTCTTCCTGACCTCCACTAACTGCCCCTCCCCCCACTTGGAACTTCTGTTCTCATCTCCTTACTCTGGTTTCTTTCTTGCCGCCTTATGTTTGAATCTGGTCTCATGAGTTTGTCCTTCATTAATGAAAACATTTATTCAGGGATGATGTAAAATTTTACAGAGAGAAGATACTTCTCTTTTCAAGGAGTGTACAAATCATTATGAAACGTGTAGCTTCTTAAATAATTTATTTCATATCACATTATTCGTTAATATTTTATTAGTTAGACATTTAAACTTTTAGGATTTTATTATGAAAGTCCTTCTATAGAGTAATTGGGGGTGACATCCTTTCTCCCCGAAATGTGTCACTTGAGAGTAAGCCTTTAATTCTAGTTGAGACAATTATCAACATGTGATTTGGGTTGTAAGATGACTTTTGCTGCAGAAGACAAGGTGTCTGGGAAATGTAATATAAACTCAGGTCCCCAGTTTGACTGCGAAAGCCAAGGGAATGGAAAGAGAAGATGGTAAGAAATATAGAAACTTGGGGCTTTTCAAGTGTGATTCAGGCATGATGAAAAGGGAGAATATGATAGATGGAAATGACACTGGGGAGATTGTGTGCTTAGGAAAAAGGGGGTCTAATTTTGGGAAAATTCTGTAGATGGAGCCTAAGGGTGCTACCAAGTCAGACAATGTTCTTAGGATTTCAAGGTGATCAGGTTTTCTAGATCCCGTGCTGGAATATTCTGAGAGACCAGAGAAAGTTTTAAAAAGCTAAGAAACACTAGCAAAGGCTTTGCAATTCTAAGGCCAAAAAAATGGAGCAAAACCAAATAATAACTATTTTAAAGGATACGGGTAAATCTCATGTTCCACTGATGCGTCCTGATACAAAAATAACATTTTGACAAGTGTAGGCTGAGTATGGAGCTGTATGACAATGCTTGCACCTGTCCTCCCCTGTAAGTGGCTAAGGGCATTCTTGGCAAGGCTTGTCGTCCACTGACCTCACCGCATGACTGCAGATGAGAGCGAGGGCCCAGCTGCTGCCGCAGCCCAAGCTGTCTTTGTGTTTGTTGCTGCAGGAGACGCTGGGCTTGGCCTTAGCCTCTGCTGCCTTAAATTCACTCCGCACAAAAAAGGTAACTAGTCCTCTCCCATCTCCCCTTATATTTGGCCAAAAGATTAGGGAACCCATTTTGCCCGTCACATGCCTGCAAGCTGAATTCAAGGGTCTGTCCTCTGTGCATCCTGCCCCAGGGAGAGGGAGAGTGAATCCCTGATCCCCTGCCCTCTAGCAGTTTCTATTTGTCAGAGCGCTTCTCACTTTGGGACTTTAAATTCTATTAACCTGTTTGTGATTCTTCTTTGTAAACTATTCGAGGATAGAGGCCATATTTTATTAATCATTGATTCTTTCTGCCTTGTTCAATACCTGGCACATGGTAGGCACTTGATAAATGTTTGTTGAATACATGAATGAGTGAATGAGTGAGTGAACGAGGGACCAATTTTTTGGGTTCTTGCTGTAGTTCTCAGCTATTCTAAGGTGGTTCATGACTCCCGAAGGCTAGGACCAAAAAGTGTGATTTTAAGTTCTTCCTTGTTTCCAAAATATTTTCTTACTTGCTTACTGAAGTTAAATTGAAGTTCAAAATTTAAAAATTTGTCATTGGAGAATTGACCTGTCATTATACAATGAGGTGTAAAATGGTTTAAATGTAAATGTTGCTTGAATTCACATACTGACTAAAGTGCGTTGAAACTAAAGGGCAACCAATCAGTCAATCAAAAAGTGTAAATAACTGTTACTAGAGTCCTTTCTGTTTTGACAGGGGGATGGAGGTCAGAGAAAAGTTGGTGCTTGGGCCTTAGTGGGGGTGGGAGAGGATGGGAGGTCAAAGGGTAATCTAGGTAGAAACAGAGCGTAGAAAGGGGAACCAGGGGCCATTGATTTAGCACTTCCTTATTGTCTTAGTTTTAGAGAGAAGTATGGGTCATGTTTGCAATTTGGTGAGAACAATGTTGGAAACTATATTGCACAAGAACCCTGCTTTATAGGATTTGTTAAGATCTGGGTGTTTTTTGTGCATGTGTGCACTTTAAAA